GCAATGGGAGGCGGTACAGGGACCCAGGTCACACTGTGGGCTCAGCAGCAGCGTGACCAGGCGGTACGGGGGCCCATGGCCGATTTGGGGCCTGGTGGCACCTATGGGAAGGCTTGTAATCTGCCAGCAACCTATGACAAAATGGACAACCGCAGGAAGTGTGAGTAGATTTCAAAGTGGCACATGGCCAAGTGGAGTTAATAGCAATGGGAGGCCGTACAGGGACCCAGGTCACACTGTACTGGGCTCAGCAGCAGCTGTGACCAGGAGTCTGGGTACGGGGGCCCATGGCCGATTTGGGGCCTGGCAGGCAGCGCATGGGGGAGGCCTGTAATCTGCCAGCACCCTATGTAAAAATGGAAACCTGGGCTGGGGCAGGCAGAAGTGAGCCGTATCTTTATCAACGGTTTTCCCCAGGCCACCGATAATGGCGACGCTGCATATGCATCAGGCAACGCTGTGTCCCAACATGGCCTACTGGCCACGCTTGACTTTCTGGCCACATAGGCAGCCGTCGTAACATACCGTTTGGCGGTTACATGACGGTGGGTACCTTACTAGGGCTTGACGAAAAATTGCCACACCAGAGTAGGAAACTTTGCCTCAGACTATCCTCACTGGCTGACTGCTACTTCTCCGTTGGTGCCATGAGCACCTCTATCTACTGGCAAAAAATGTGGTTCAGATGCAGGCTGCAGTGGAGCTGGTGCTCTACCTGAAGTGGCCACATGGTCTGACAGAGTGTGCGACTCCTGCTGCCCTACATGGCAGCAGCAATGGGAGGCCGTACAGGGACCCATGATCTGGGACTCTTGGCAAGCAGCATGAGGAGGCGGGTCGGTATATAGGGGCCATGGCAGATTAGGGTACCTGGCGAGCAGCTATGGAGGCCCGTAATCTGCCAGCACCCTATGTCAAAAATTCTACACACCAGCAGTGTGAGGAGACCTGAAAGTGGCACATGGCAGAGTGTGGCGATGGAGACAGCAGCAATGGGGATGGCCGTACAGGGACCCATGAGAGACTCTGGACCTGGCAGCAGCATGAGGAGAATTGCGGTATATAGGGGCCTATGGCAGATTAGGGGCCTGGCAGCAGCTATAGGAGGCCCGTAATCTGCCAGCACCCTATGTCAAAAAATTCTACACACACCAGCAGTGTGAGGAGACCTGAAAGTGGCACATGGCAGAGTGTGGCGATGGAGACAGCAGCAATGGGAGGCCGTACAGGGACCCATGAGAGACTCTGGACCTGGCAGCAGCATGAGGAGGCGGGTATATAGGGGGCCTATGGCAGATTAGGGGCCTGGCAGCAGCTATAGGAGGCCCGTAATCTGCCAGCACCCTATGTCAAAAAATTCTAACACCTCCAGCAGTGTGAGGAGACCTGAAAGTGGCACATGTGGCAGAGGATGATGTGGGCTGGTGATGGAGACAGCAGCAATGGGAGGCCGTACAGGGACCCATGATGATGACGACTCTGGACCTGGCAGACAGCAGAGGAGGCGGTATATATAGGGGGCCCATGGCAGATTAGGGGCCTGGCAGCAGCTATGGGAGGCCCGTGTAATCTGCCAGCACCCTATGTCAAAAAATTCTACACACCAGCAGTGTGTGAGGAGACCTGAAAGTGGCACATGGCAGAGTCCTTGTGGCGATGGAGACAGCAGCAATGGGGATGTGGCCGTACAGGGACCCATGAGTGACTCTGGACCTGGCAGCAGCATGAGGGAGGCGGTATATAGGGGCCCATGGCAGATTAGGGGCCTGGCAGCAGCTATGAGGAGGCCCGTAATCTGCCAGCACCCTATGTCAAAAAATTCTACACACACCAGCAGTGTGAGGAGACCTGAAAGTGGCACATGGCAGAGTGTGGCGATGAGAGACAGCAGCAATGGGAGGCCGTATACAGGGACCCATGAGAGACTCTGGACCTGGCAGCAGCCAGCATGAGGAGGCAGGTATATAGGGGCCTATGGCAGATTAGGGGGCCTGGCAGCAGCTATGGGAGGCCGTAATCTGCCCAGCACCCTATGTCAAAAAATTCTCACACACACCAGCAGTGTGAGGAGACCTGAAAGTGGCACATGGCAGAGTGTGGCGATGACATTTAGACAGCATGCAGCAGCAAATGGGAGGCCGTTACAGGGACCCATGAGAGACTCTGGACCTTGGCATGGAGCAGCAGCATGAGGAGGCGGGGCGGTATATAGGGGCCCATGGCAGATTAGGGGCCTGGCAGCAGCTATGGGAGGCCCGTAATCTGCCAGCACCCTATGTCAAAAAAATTCTACACACCAGCAGTGTGTGAGGAGACCTGAAAGTGGCACATGGCAGAGTGTGGCGATGGAGACAGCAGCAATGGGAGGCCGTACAGGGACCCATGAGAGACTCTGGGACTTGGCAGCAGCATGAGGAGGGCGGTATATATAGGGGCCCATGGCAGATTAGGGCCTGGCAGCAGCTATGGGAGGCCCGTAATCTGCCAGCACCCTATGTCAAAAAAATTCTACACACCAGCAGTGTGTGAGGAGACCTGAAAGTGGCACATGGCAGAGTGTGGCGATGGAGACAGCAGCAATGGGAGGCCGTACAGGGACCCATGAGAGACTCTGGACCTTGGCAGCAGCAGCATGAGGAGGCGGTATATAGGGGCCTATGGCAGATTAGGGGCCTGGCAGCAGCTATGGGAGGCCCGTAATCTGCCAGCACCCTATGTCAAAAAATTCAACACACCAGCAGTGTGTGAGGAGACCTGAAAGTGGCACATGGAGCAGAGTGTGGCATGATGAGACAGCAGCAATGGGGAGGCCAGCTGGTACAGGGACCCATGAGACAGACTCTGGACCTGGCAGCAGCATGCAGCATGAGAGGCAGGTATATAGGGGCCCATGGCAGATTAGGGGCCTGGCAGCAGCTATGGGAGGCCCGTAATCTGCCAGCACCCTATGTCAAAAAATTGAACACACCAGCAGTGTGTGAGGAGACCTGAAAGTGGCACCATGGCAGAGTGTGGCGATGGAGACAGCAGCAATGGGAGGCCGTACAGGGACCCATGAGAGACTCTGGACTTGGCAGCAGGATGATGTGGGGGTATAGGGGGCCCATGGCAGATTAGGGGCCTGGCAGCAGCTATGGGAGGCCCGTAATCTGCCAGCACCCTATGTCAAAAAAAAATTTGGACACACACCAGCAGTGTGAGGAGACCTGAAAGTGGCACATGGCAGAGTGTGGCGATGGAGACAGCAGCAATGGGAGGCCGTACAGGGACCCATGACAGACTCTGGACCTTGGCAGCAGCATGAGGGAGGCGGTATATAGGGGCCCATGGCAGATTAGGGGCCTGGCAGCAGCTATAGGAGGCCCGTAATCTGCCAGGAACCCTATGTCAAAAAATTGGAACACACAGCAGTGTGTGAGGAGACCTGAAAGTGGCACATGGCAGAGTGTGGCGATGGAGACAGCAGCAATGGGAGGCCAGTACAGGGACCCATGAGAGACTCTGGACCTTGGCAGCAGCAGCATGAGGAGGCGGGCGGTATATAGGGGCCCATGGCAGATTAGGGGCCTGGGCAGCAGCTATAGGAGGCCCGTAATCTGCCAGCACCCTATGTCAAAAAATTTACACACCAGCAGTGTGTGAGGAGACCTGAAAGTGGCACATGGCAGGTGGCAGAGTGTGGCGATGGAGACAGCAGCAATCTGGGACAGGCCGTACAGGGGACCCATGAGAGACTCTGGACCTGGCAGCCAGCATGAGCAGCTTCCTGGCTAGGGTATAGCAGTGGGGCCTATGGCCTATGGCAGATTAGGGGCCTGGCAGCAGCTATGGGAGGCCCCGTTTAATCTGCCAGCAGCACCTATGTCAAAAAAATTCTACACACCCAGCAGTGTGAGGAGACCTGAAAGTGGCACATGGCAGAGTTGTGTGGCGATGGAGACTGGCAGCAGCCAATGGGAGGCCGTACAGGGACCCATGAGAGACTCTGGACCTGGCAAGCAGCAGCATGAGGGAGGCGGTATAATAGGGGCTATGGCAGATTAGGGGCCTGGCAGCAGCTATAGGAGGCCCGTAATCTGCCAGCACCCTATGTCAAAAAATTCAACACACCAGCAGTGTGTGAGGAGACCTGAAAGTGGCACATGGCAGAGTGTGGTGGCGATGGCATCAGTGGACAGCAGCAATGGGGGAGGCCGTACAGGGACCCATGAGAGACTCTGGACCTGGCAGCAGCATGAGGAGGCGGTATATAGGGGCCCTATGGCAGATTAGGGGCCTGGCAGCAGCTATGGGAGGGCCCGTAATCTGCGCAGCACCCTATGTCAAAAAATTACAACACCAGCACCCAGCAGTGTGAGGAGACCTGAAAGTGGCACATGGCAGAGTGTGGCGATGGAGACAGCAGCAATGGCACTGGGAGGCCGTACAGGGACCCATGAGAGACTCTGGACCTGGCAGCAGCATGCATGAGGAGGGCGGTATATAGGGGCCCATGGCAGATTAGGGGCCTGGCAGCAGCTATGGGAGGCCCGTAATCTGCCAGCACCCTATGTCAAAAAAATGGAAACACACCAGCAGTGTGAGGAGACCTGAAAGTGGCACATGGCAGAGTGTGGCGATGGAGACAGCAGCAATGGGAGGCCCGTACAGGGACCCATGAGAGACTCTGGACTCCTGGCTTGGCAGCAGCATGGGAGGCGGTATATAGGGGCCCATGGCAGATTAGGGGCCTGGCAGCAGCTATGGGGAGGCCCGTAATCTGCCAGCACCCTATGTCAAAAAAATTTAACACACAGCAGTGTGTGAGGAGACCTGAAAGTGGCACATGGCAGAGTGTGTGTGGCGATGGAGACAGCAGCAATGGGGGATGGACCGTTACAGGGACCCATGAGAGACTCTGGACCTGGCAGCAGCATGAGGAGGCGGTATTATAGGGGCCCATGGCAGATTAGGGGCCTGGGCAGCAGCTATGGGAGGCCCGTAATCTGCCAGCACCCTATGTCAAAAAATTCAACACACCAGCAGTGTGTGAGGAGACCTGAAAGTGGCACATGGCAGAGTGTGGCGATGGAGACAGCAGCAATGGGAGGCCGTACAGGGACCCATGAGAGACTCTGGACTTGGCAGCAGCTGATGAGGAGGCGGTATATATAGGGGCCCATGGCAGATTAGGGGCCTGGCAGCAGCTATGGGAGGAGGCCCGTAATCTGCCAGCACCCTATGTCAAAAAAATTCAACACACACAGCAGTGTGAGGAGACCTGAAAGTGGCACATGGCAGAGTGTGTGGCGATGGAGACAGCAGCAATGGGAGGCCGTACAGGGACCCATGAGAGAGACTCTGGACCTGGCAGCAGCACTGCATGAGAGAGGGGGGTGTATATAGGGCCCATGGCAGATTAGGGGGCCTGGCAGCAGCTATAGGAGGCCCGTAATCTGCCAGCACCCTATGTCAAAAAATTCAACACACAGCAGCAGTGTGTGAGGAGACCTGAAAGTGGCACATGGCAGAGTGTGGCGATGGGATGAAGATCAGCCAGCAGCAATGGGAGGCCGTACAGGGACCCATGAGAGACTCTGGACCCCTGGCAGCAGCATGAGGAGGCGGTATATAGGGGCCCTATGGCAGATTAGGGGCCTGGCAGCAGCTATGGGAGGCCCGTAATCTGCCAGCACCCTATGTCAAAAAATTCACACATCCAGCAGTGTGAGGAGGAGACCTGAAAGTGGCACATGGCAGAGTGTGGCGATGGAGACTGCAGCAATGGGAGGCCGTACAGGGACCCATTGAGACTCTGGACCCTGGCAGCAGCTGATGAGGAGGCGGTATATAGGGGGCCCATGGCAGATTAGGGGCCTGGCAGCAGCTATATGGAGGCCCGTAATCTGCCAGCACCCTATGTCAAAAAAAATTCAACACACAGCAGTGTGTGAGGAGACCTGAAAGTGGCACATGGCAGAGCAGGTGTGGCGAGACTGGAGACAGCAGCAATGGGATGGCCGTACAGGGGACCCATGAGAGACTCCTGGACCCTGGCAGCAGCATGGGAGGAGGCTGTTCTAGGGACCCCTATGGCAGATTAGGGGCCTGGCAGCAGCTATGGGAGGCCCGTAATCTGCCAGGCACCTATGTCAAGTAAATTGCACTACCAGTAACATGAGGAGACCTGTGTGGCACTGGCAAGCAGTGTGTGAGGAGACCTGAGCACAATGGGAGTGGCCACATGGCATGAGAGAGACTCTGGACCTGGCAGCAGCATGAGGAGGCGGTATATAGGGGCCCATGGCAGATTATGGGGCCTATGCAGCAGCTATGGGAGGCCCGTAATCTGCCAGCACCCTATGTCAAAAAATTCAACACACCAGCAGTGTGTGAGGAGACCTGAATAGTGGCACATGGCAGAGTGTGGCGATGGAGACACAATGTGTCCCCACCGACTGTTTTGCTCGACTGTGGGCCCAAGCTGCCACCCTCTTCTCCTGATGATGAGGAAGGCAATAGCCTGATGTGGACGACGAGCAATGCCAAGTGCGATCAGCCTCATCATCATCATATTAGGGTCTGTGGCCCTCATGTACTAACAATTCGGCTGCGTGTGGGGTCAGGAGACAGACCTGTCTCTACACCGGCTACCGAGCCACTCTCGAGTGTGACTCGCCACTACTTCTTCGCTGCTGGCTGCTTGAAGAGGGGGAGTCTGGCCCCCTTCTCGTGGCCCTCTGTTAGCTCTTCCTCACTGTACTGGTGACACTGGGAGCACTGGCCTCTGGCTGCGAAAATAGTGCTGCCTCAGAACCCTTCCTCTGTGTAATGTCTGCCGCTCCTAAAACATGTGCCTCAGTCTCTGCCACTCACCTCTGCATTGTTGTCTGACATACTCTGAGTAATTCAACGATTCTGTGTCCCTGAGTAACAATTCTGTGTGTCCCTGAGTAACAATTCTGTGGCCCTGAGTAACGTTCTGTGGCCCATGGAACATGGGTTCTGTGGCCCTCTGTAACGGTTCTGTGTCCCTGAGAGTAACAATTCTGTGTCCTGAGAGTAACAATTCTGTGGTGGCCCTAAGTAACAGTTCTGTGGCCCTCAGTAACAATTCTGTGCCCTAAGTAACACGTTTCTGTGGCCCTGAGTAACAATTCTGTGTCTGCCCTGTGTGTACAAATTTCTGTGCCCTGTGCGAGTAACAATTCTGTGGCACCCTCATGCTAAGTAAACAGTTCTGTGGCCCTCAGTAACAAGTTCTGTGTCCCTGAGTAACATTAGTGTCTGTGTAACAATTCTGTGCCCGACAGTAACAATTCTGTGGCCCTAAGTAACAGTTTCTGTGGCCCATGTAACAATTCTGTGTCCTGCTGAGTAACAATTCTGTGGCCCTAATAGTAACGGTTCTGTGGCCCTCAGTAACAAGTTCTGTGTCCCTGTGTAAGTAACAATTCTGTGTCTGTGCGTAGTAACAATTCTGTGGCCCCTAAGTAACAGTTCTGTGGCCCTCAGTAACAGTTCTGTGTCCCCTGATGAGTAACAATTCTGTGTCTGTGCGAGTAACAATTCTGTGGCCCTAAGTAACAGTTCTGTAGTGGCCCTCAGTAACAGTTCTGTGTCCCTGAGTAACAATTCTGTGGCCCTGTGCATAAGTAACAATTCTGTGGCCCTAGTAACAGTTCTGTGGCCATGTCAGTAACAATTCTGTGGCCCTGAGTAACACAAGTAACAGTAACAATTCTGTGGCCCTCAGTAACAATTCTTCTGTGTCCCTGAGTAACAATTCTGTGTCTGTGCCCTCAGTAACAATTCTGTGGCCCTAAGTAACAGTTTCTGTGGCCCCAGTAACAGTACTGTGTTCTGTGGCCCTCAGTAACAATTCTGTGTCCAGTTCTGTGTCTGTGCCTGAGTAACAATTCTGTGGCCCTAAAGTAACACTGTTCTGTGGCCCAGTAAACATTCTGTGGCCCTCTGTGGCCCTAAGTAACAATTCTGTGGCCCTGAGTAACAATTCTGTGGCTGAGTAACCCTACTAAGTAACGGTTCTGTGGCCCTCAGTAACAATTCTGTGTCCCTGTGTAACAATTCTGTGTCTGTGCGAGTAACAATTCTGTGGCCCTAAGTAACAGTTCTGTGGCCCTCAGTAACAGTTCTGTGTCCCTGTAGTAAACACATTCTGTGTCTGTGGCCCTAAGTAACAATTCTGTGGCCCTAAGTAACAGTTCTGTGGCCCTCAGTAACAATTCTGTGTCCCTGAGTAACAATTCTGTGGTCTGTAAGAGTAACAATTCTGTGGCCCTAAGTAACAGTTCTGTGGCCCTCAGTAACAATTCTGTGGCCCTAAGTAAACAGTTCTGTGGCCCTGCCCTGAGTAACAATTCTGTGTCCCAGTAACAATTCTGTGTCTGTGAGTAACAATTCTGTGGCCCTAAGTAACAGTTCTGTGGCCCTCAGTAACAATTCTGTGTCCCTGAGTAACTGTTCTGTGTCTGTGCGAGTAACAATTTCTGTGGCCCTAAGTAACAGTTTCTGTGGCCCTCAGTAACAATTCTGTGTCCCTCAGAGTAACAATTCTGTGGCCCTAAGTAACGGTTCTGTGGCCCTCCTCAGTAACAATTCTGTGTCCCTGTGTAACAATTCTGTGTCCTGCGAAGTAACAATTCTTCTGTGGCCCTAAGTAACAGTTCTGTGGCCCTCAGTAACAGTTCTGTGTCCCTGAGAGTAACAATTCTGTGTCTGTGCGAGTAACAATTCTGTGGCCCTAAGTAACAGTTCTGTGGCCCTCAGTAACAAGTTCTGTGTCCCTGAGTAACAATTCTGTGTCTGTGCGAGTAACAATTCTGTCTGGCCCTAAGTAACAATTCTGTGGCCTCTAGTAACAATTCTGTGGCCCTAAGTAACGGTTCTGTGGCCCTCAAGTAACAATTCTGTGTCCCTGTGTAACAATTCTGTGTCTGCCCTAAGTACACAGTTTCTGTGGCCCTAAGTAACAGTTCTGTGGCCCCTCAGTAACAGTTCTGTGTGTCCCTGAGTAACAATTCTGTGTCTGTGCCAGTAACAATTCTGTGGCCCTAAGTAACAGTTTCTGTGGCCCCTCAGTAACAATTCTCTGTGTCCCTGGCCCTAAGTAACAATTCTGTGGCCCTCAGTAGTACAATTCTGTGGCCCTCAGTAACAATTCTGTGGCCTCAGTAACAATTCTGTGTCTCCCTGAGTAACAATTCTGTGTGGCCCTAAGTAGTAACGGTTCTGTGGCCCTCAGTAACAATTTCTGTGTCCCTCAGTAACAATTCTGTGTCTGTCCCGAGTAACAATTCTGTGGCCCTAAGTAACAGTTTCTGTGGCCCCAGTAACATTTCTGTGTCCCTCTGAGTAACAATTCTGTGTCTGTGACCTCGAGTAAATTTCTGTGTCTGTGGCCTGAAGTAACAGTTCTGTGGCCCTAAGTAAGTAGTAACATTTTCTGTGTCCCTCAGTAACAATTCTGTGTCCCTGAGTAACAATTCTGTGGCCCCTCAAGTAACGGTTCTGTGTCCCTCAGTAACAATTCTGTCTGTCCCTCGCAGTAACAATTCTGTGTCTGTGCGAGTAAGTAACAATTCTGTGGGCCTAAGTAACAGTTCTGTGGCCCTCAGTAACAATTTGTGTCCTCAGTAACAATTCTGTGTCTGTGCAGTAATGAGTAACAATTCTGTGGCCCTAAGTAACAGTTCTGTGGCCTCAGTAAATTCTCTGTTCTGTGTCCCTGAGTAACAATTCTGTGTCCCTAAGTAACATTTCTGTGGCCCTAAGTAACGTTCTGTGGCCCTAAGTAACAATTCTGTGGCCCTAAGTAACAATTTCTGTGGCCCTCAGTAACAATTCTGTGTCTGTCCTGTGTAACAATTCTGTGTCTGTGCATGAGTAACAATTCTGTGGCCCTAAGTAACAGTTCTGTGGCCCTCAAGTAAACAGTTCTGTGTCCCTGAGTAAACAATTCTGTGTCTGCCCGAGTAACAATTTCTGTGGACCTAAAGTAACAGTTCTTGTGTGCCCTCAGTAACAATTCTGTGTCCCTGAGTAACAATTTCTGTGCCCTAAGTAACAATTGTTCTGTGGCCCTCAGTAACAATTCTGTGTCCCTGTAGTAACAATTCTGTGTCTGTGCTGAGTAACAGTTTTCTGTGGCCCCTAATGTAACAGTTCTGTGGCCCTCAGTAACAATTCTGTGTCCCTGAAGTAACAATTCTGTGTCTGTGCGAGTAACAATTTCTGTGGCCCTAAGTAACAGTTTCTGTGGGCCCTCAGTAACATTTCTGTGTCCCTGAGTAACAAATTCTGTGTTCCCTGAGTAACAATTCTGTGGCCCTAAGTAACATTTCTGTGGCCCTCAGTAACAATTCTGTGTGAGTTACAGTTCTGTGGCCCTAAGTAACAATTCTGTGGCCCTCAGTAACAATTCTGTGCCCTAAGTAACAATTCTGTTTCTGTGTGTGTCCCTCAGTAACTGTGTTGTCTGTGGCCCTAAGTAACAGTTTCTGTGGCCCTCAGTAACAATTCTGTGTCCCTGAGTAACAATTTCTGTGTCTGTCCCAGTAACAATTCTGTGGCCCTAAGTAACAGTTCTGTGGCCCTCAGTAACAATTCTGTGTCCCTGAGTAACAATTCTGTGGCCCTAAGTAACGGTTCTGTGGCCCTCAGTAACAATTCTGTGTCCCTGTGTAACAATTCTGTGTGTCTGTGCGAGTAACAATTCTGTGGCCCTAAGTAACGTTTCTGTGGCCCTCAGTAAAACAATTCTGTGTCCCTGTGTAACAATTCTGTGTCTGTGCCCTAAGTAACAATTCTGTGGCCCTAAGTAACGGTTCTGTGGCCCTCAGTAACAATTCTGTGTGTCCCTGAGTAACAATTCTGTGTCTGTCCCTGAGTAACAATTCTGTGGCCCTAAGTAACAGTTCTGTGGCCCTCAGTAACAATTCTGTGTCCTAGTGCTGAGTAACAATTCTGTGTCTGTGCTGAAGTAACAATTCTGTGGCCCTAAGTAACAGTTCTGTGGCCCTCAGTGAGTAACAATTCTGTGTCCCTGTTTAACAATTCTGTGGCCCTAAGTAACGGTTTCTGTGGCCCTCAGTAACAATTCTGTGTCCCTGGAGTAACAATTCTGTGTCTGTGCGTAGTAGTAACAATTCTGTGGCCCTAAGTAACGTTCTGTGGCCCTCAGTAACAATTCTGTGTCCCTGAGTAACAATTCTGTGTCTGTGCGAGTAAGTAACAATTCTGTGGCCCTAAGTAACAGTTCTGTGGCCCCCTCAGTAACAGTTCTGTGTCCCTGAGTAACAATTCTGTGTCTAAGTGCAAGTAACAATTCTGTGGCCCTAAGTAACTAGTTCTGTGGCCCTCAGTAACAATTCTGTGTCCCTGAGTAACAATTCTGTGGCCCTAAGTAAACACGGTTCTGTGGCCCTCAGTAACAATTCTGTGT